GATCTGTGGCATTAGCAGCACAGCTTAGGGACGCCACATTTACAACACGTAAGCATCGCTACTACAGAAAAAAAAAAAAAAAAACATTTCACTGGACTTTGTTTGCAGAGATGAGGAGGCAGAGATGGGTTCTAGCAGATTTAATCAAAGTCCCAAAGCCAAATATTGAAAACCAAATGTCCAGGAGACCTCATGGAAAACACACATGGGAGCAAAGAAACAATGCAAAAAAGGAACAAGGAACCAGCAATGAGCAACTGCAGAAGTGGTGTATATATGGGGAACAGGACAAAGAATGGGCTAATCAGCAGATATAGAGCATGTGTGGATAGAAGTGACTAGAAGGGAACTTAAAAAATAAATAGAAAACAACTACAATTACACAAATAGAACAAAAAACAGTTACCAAGTAAACAGAATGACATATGTTAAAAATGTAAATTAAAAAAGTCCACAAAGGGCAGGATCATGACAGATGCTAAATAAAAAGGCCCAACCATTAGTCTCCACTCAAATTTATCCAAAGGTGTTGTTTTTGGGCTAAGTTCATTTTTTTTAAATATTTAGATATCATATCATTTCATTTTATTTAAGCTTTTTATTTTCTTTGTGTCACTGTGTGTTTAAATGTGTGTCCCAAAAAGGTTTTGCTACTTTTACCTATTGTGCAAGCAACTTTTATAGATCAGCAAAAACTACCTTTTTTTGGGGTTAAAAATGTAAAACAGGTGGTTGAGTGATAAATGAAATTCAATTTAGTTCATTCCTATAGCACTAATTCACAAATCATGTTATTTCAAGGTACTTTACAGAGAAAAGATGAAGGAAAGCGGAGATACAACATCTTCAGTCTATTTCATCACCTGCAGGGAGAAATGTAAAAAGAACAGCACCACCAATGGATAAAGTATAACAGATACATTAAAGTAGCACCTTGATACCATCACTGAAGTATACTTTGTATAATTTATAATTATACTCCTACAGCAAACCATCCTTAAGACCTTCAGGAACATTAATCTGGAGCAGATGACTTTTTTTAAACACGATACGTGTACTGATAATTTCGATATATATTTCTAACCGCTCCCTCATATGTGCTTCTAAGTTTTGGGGCCGAGTCTATAGACCAAAATTTTTTTCTTCCTCCATTCACATGGTGAAAATGACACAAACACAACAAATAATACACAAGTATTATTTTAAATAAAGAAATTGTTTGTTTTTTTTAACCAATCAAAGGTAACATTAACAATGGATAGCAGATGGAGGGAGTGATCTGAAGGTACGGCTGCTGAATGCACTAATGCTTTACTAAGCAGTCATTGAAAAAACAGAAAGGCAAGCACCTAACTCCGTTAACCTTTAGCCTAATAGCTTTATCTCTCAGCTTTGAGAGAACATCCAGGATAAACGGAGGTTAGAGGTTCGCCACAAGGTTGGTTTTCCTGATGTCACAGACAAAAGGCGCCCAGTGATCCCAGTACAGGCGGCCCAGCATTCGTCACATGCAAACAGTCACATGTCAGGATGGGAGGAACGCTGCATCTGCTGCATCATAAATCAATAAAGCACCTATATAGATCCTACATTTGACCCTGAGTCTGATACACATCACACCTGTCTCACTCTGAAACGTCTTAGTCACAACAAACATTACTAAAGCTCCTCCCCTCCTTGTGGATATAAAACAATCCTCAATTAAATCCAGGACGGTCACTTTAATGTGAGCACATACTGGAAACCGGGAGAAAATTTAACTGGAATAAATCAACCATCTGGCTCCTCAGTTGTGCCGTTGTGCCGTCTGTCTCTCTGCAGCCTTTCTTCTCCTAAAAACTGGTTTTGTCCAGAAGCTTTTAATCTGTCGGAACATTTAAAACATATTACTGGCTTTCGCTCCCTTTCTTTTTTTTTGTAAACAAAGACAATCCCACACTGCATTCTTCTTAGTTATCCTTGAAAAAAAGTCTTGTTTTTAATCTAATTCATTTCTCTTTGCATGAAGAGGGAGACGGTTAGGAAAGGACGATAGCTAATTATTTTCAGTCCTTCAAACAGGAGCCAAATTCTGGTCCAAAAACCAAATATATACAGTAACCAATTAAATACGAACAGAGCTCCACATTTTAATAAGATGCTGCAAACAGCTTGTTCCGTGTTTTTAACTCACTTAATTACTTTTTTTTACTTCGACATGAAGTTTTATGTCTCAAAAAAGGAGAAAAACTTCCTAACAATAAAATTATAACAAAAATTCTTGATCTATAGTGCAGAACAAATGTCTTTATGTTCCTTGATTATGTTAATATGCAGTCACATTGCAAACAAATGCACCTTCAGTCCATTTCATAGGAATGACCAACACAAAGCAAAACAGAACTGTAAACTGTGAGGAAACACAGATGGTTTAAAATGCTCCATGAAGATTCTGCGTTTTGACCCCCATCATCCACTAGAACACAAACTGTTATCAGAACTCTGAGTTAAAGAGCTGACAATATTTACATAAGTTGCAGAGGAGATGGGAAAACAAAACCAACATGTCGGGAAAACACTCGAAGGATGTGGTTTTCCAAACTGGCCTTTGCATGCAGGAAGAATTACTAACACAGAGGAACAAGGAAAAGCAAAAACATTGTTTGAGGAGTTTTTGAGAAACCTAACATAACATTGAATTTCAAACAACAGACTCAGATAAAACCTGGTTCCTCCGGACAGAACACCCAGACCAAAGCTGAGTGGACTTAAATGTTTATCTGCAGTCCAGTAAGGACTGTTTGGACTCCTGAATTGGAAAAATTAAAGAACTACATGAACGCATGGCTCAGCACAGGAAAGCCAGCAGCTCTAGGCAGGAATCTGCTGTATAGTTGGTCTTTAAAAACAAAAGACGCACCTTTGAGGACAAAAATGTCCTAATTTTGGACAGATAGCACAGATGGTTCGAAAGAGGGCTGAAGGAAACCATCTTTGTTAAAAAAGAAGCCCCACCACTGAACATAGGGGGATGATTGTTATTTCAGCTTCCAAGGATCTACAGTTTAGTCATGTGTGTGGAAATACGCATCGTGGTTCAAATCACCAAACATAAAGCCCAGGAGAGCAACAGCTGAGTCTTTGAATTTGCACAGGACTTGAGATGTGCTTAGGAGGACGGAACTCCGTGGTGATTAAAAACATCCAACTACAGGTTGCTCAAGGGAATAACACTCTAAAGCAGTGATTGAAATCCAGTGCAAACCATCCTTCCTAAGAAGTCACAGCAAAACATCTGTCTCATATTTAATCCTATTGTAAATCCAGCTGTTCTGAGGAAGTTTTAAAGGTTTGTTGAAGAATATAAGTGAATACACAAAACAGCAAAGGGATGAGCTCATGAAGAATATTAAAGCTTTATTAAACAAGCATTTCACAAGCAACCTCCCCTAAAGTCATGACAAAACCATCTAAATTGGCTAGGAAGACATCCATCCAGGTAACCATGGAGGATCTCCACAAAACTACAGCTAAGTTAAGAAAATTGGCTGAGATGACAACTATTTCTTTAATTCTGCTCTGCAGTTTATAGAAAAATAGCTAAAGGTTACTGACTTTTAACAATAGAATACCCAGTTAGGAATCTGCTATAGTCCACAACAAACAAGAAAAAGGGTGCTCTGGTTACATTGAGACCAAAACTTAAAGGGGATTGCCATTTTTTTTTTACATTGGGCCCTTGCTTTTTCGTTATTACATCATGTTGTGCTCACCCATATGAGTTTTGTGTCATTTGGAGCCGTTCTGAAGATATTCCGTAACTTCCTCCTATGGGCAACGACTTGAAGGCACAAACTAAACTGTTCATAATTTATCATTTATGGTACGCCAGCATTCATAACATGTAGGCGAATCACTTTCCCCGAGACATCCGCGGGTATGTTTTTTATATTTATATCTTTTAAAAATAAAGCGGCGCGTGAATGACGTCATCCGCGCATGCGGACTGGAGTCGTAACAGGAAGCCCGGGCCACAGGCGGCTACTCTCTACCCCTTCTATTCATTCTAGCTAATCTGAATCGTTCAATTCCATTTCCAGAGCGAGATCATCTGTGGTAGTAGCACTAGACATCTTCCAGGCATGCAATTAAAACTAGCAGCAGTTAAGCGGACAGGATGAATGAATGGTAGCCGGCGGGCATGGATGACGTCATACACGTGCCGCTTTGTTTTTAAAACATATAAATATATAAAATATATAAGCGGATGTCTGGGGGACAGTGATTCACCTACATGTTATGAATGCTGGCGTACTATAAAGAATAAATTATGAACAGTTTAGTTTGTGCCTTCAAGTCGTTGCCCATAGGAAGACGTTACTTGGATATAGCCTAATGGAAAATCTTCAGAACGGCTCCAAATGACACAAAACTCATATGGATGAGTAGAACATGATATAATAACGTAAAATCAAGGGCCCAATGTAAAAAAACGACGTTCCCCTTTAACTTTGTAAATGGCAAGCAAAAGTCTACATGTGGCGGAAAGCTAACCCTAACTGCACAGTGTTCACCGCAATGGGAGGCTGGCAGTGCCATGATGTGGGGAAGTTGTTGACAGTTTAGGGAAGATGGAGGGGATTGAATGAAGGGCTATTCTGGAGGACAACCAGCCCTGACTGAGGCTGAGGTGGTGGCTTACCCTACATCAATAAAAAGATTCAGTCCAGAGCTACAATGGAGATGTTCCTATCAAAACATACAATGTCTAGAAAGATCAAGTTAATGTATAAATCTAAAACTAACTAAGAACCTAATCAACTGTCTGTTACCTCCGGTCAATAAGATGAAATCCCAATTTAGTTCATAGAAGTTTGTAAGTCATTAAACGGTTCAAGGAGTAGGAATAATATGGTTCAGGAATGTTATGAGTAAAATAGCTGGAAACAGGAAGCTGTGAAGTCTGAAACATGCCACAGTGAGCTGATTCTGGGTCCCATGGAGTTTAATGCAAACCTCACCTAAGGCAGCCGGACGTGTTCTTGAAGACGGTAGTCCACTCTGCATCACGTGGCTTCGAGTCCTCGTTGGGTTCATGCTCCCAACCAGAGTGGGGGATGATGACCTCGTTGGTCATGGTCTGCAGCCCATGGTTGATGATCACCATTTTCAGGGGCTCATAGGATGACAGATTCCACAGAGTACCTGAGGGGGAGCCAGAGGGGAACAATAGTAGAGACAAATCAGAGGAGTGCAGGTACTGAACAACAAAGAGCTCTTTTAGAATAAGAATTATCAGAGAGGACACAGATATTCATTCAAAATTTAACAAGATCTGGAAGTAAGGGTGGATGAAGCAACATTTCAAGCATTAAAAGAATAAAAAAGTAGAGAGATGTAAGAAACAAGAAAGATGCTGCAAAAAGACTAGAGAGAAAGGAGGAGTGTGGGAAATTGTATACAGAGAATGAAAATGATGCAACGTAGTGAAAGCTTTCTAACAGAGAAAGACACCCGCTGAGCGGACTCTACAAATAAAATCAAGAACATATTAAAATATGGTTTCGAACCACCAAAAAATAGGGCAGACCATCATAATGTGGAAAACAAAAATCACAAATTTAACCTAAAATTACAATGAGAGACCTTGATGTTAGCTGTTTTTTACTTTCAGAACTCATACATGTTAGCCAGCATTACTACCACAGGAGCTATTGTACCATTTGTTTTGTAGATGCTGTTTCACTAGATTGCTTCCTCACTATGAAAATCAGTCACCTTCCAAACAACCCCTATGGAGCAGCAGAGGCCGCTCAGCTAATCACAGAAAAATAACCTTCAGCTTATTCTGAAAAAACAAAAACAAAACAAAACATCACAAAGGAAGAGAAAGAAACCCACAGAGATTTACAGGAAAGTAGATGGAGTTGGTGTGTGCTGAGCAATCTTTACTAGAGAAGCAGGAAGCTGAGAGAGGGGGGATGATGTGGAAGCAGATTCCTGCAGGTCACAGAAATAAAGCAGCCTTTTTCCCCCCAAAGGGTTCTAACACACACTGAAGCCATGGGACCTCCATTTTGAAATACAATTACAAACAAAGAATAACGTATGGTTCATTTTTTTAAATGGTAAACAAAGCATCTAAGTCAGGGTAACCAGAGTTCTTTGGTGTTGAGGAAAAAAAAATATTTGTAAGGGGATCGGTGGCCTAGTGGTTAGGGCATAGAGCTTGGAATCCTAAGGTTCTGAGTTTGAGCCCCACTCCCACAGACTGCCACTTTGGGCCCTGAGCAAGACCCTTAACCCCCACACTGTTCCCTTTAAATGTAGAGAGTTCATTTTGTTGCTCTGTACTTGTGACAGTGTAGTGACATTAAAAAAAAAGCTGGAAAAAACAAAGGTTTGTAATGTGGAGTGAAGTTTTTATGCTATTTTTAGCATTAGTGAGGTATTTGAAGATCAAGTCAGAACAGAGATGTAAGCATTCTTAACCCTTTAAAGCCCGATCCAAGAATAAAACAAAACAGAAAATTACTTTTTTTTGGTTTAAAGTCCTTAGTTGACCTTTTAACAAAATATGTAAAAAGAAAAAACAGAAATACATTTTTGATATTAATAATTTATTACTATGCGATAAGTCAAGATTATTTTTTGTGTAGTCTTCTGCCCTCTGTTATCAAGTATATCTGATTGTGTACAATAGGATTTTGAGCAAAGTTTTTACCATTTAATTATGCAAAAGGTGTCAGACGCAAAACATTTCAGAAACCGTGTGTATCAAATATGATACATTTGGCATTACAGGGTTAAAAGGAAACAGTATTTTATAACACATACATTTAAATATTGCCAGACAGTGAGAGAGAGCAGGATTTGCAGCTGGTAACAGAAAGGCTCAAGTTCTACAGCCCATTTTATTTATTTGAGCTTTTAACTTATGTTTCATTGACTATCATTATGCCAAACCTTTAGCAAGAAAATGCTGGAAACTGGCCACACAGCTCTATTGTGAACATCTCTATCAATAACTGAATCAAAGTTGTTTCTTCTGCAAACTTTAGACATTTTTTCACCTACAGCAACCTATTATACAAACGGGTTTTAATTAAAGCAGATTTCTTCTTACTGCTAATATTCTTCTACTGTATGTCCTTTGAGTTTAGGTAAGCATTTGGTTTCTACACATTCGGAAACCTATACTGTGTCAGACATTGACTTACAGTAAACCACATTGTTTGCATGAAAAAAACACAGTGCATTCCTGTCTGCTTCTCTCACATCACAGGTTTGCCGCCAGGCCTCTTGCCTCAGAGAAACAACAGCTGGTTTCCTAGTAAAAAGGCTGAACATGGATCCTCATGCATGAACACACGCTGTTATGCTCCATGCATGTAGAAATGCAGCGTTAAAACAGGTAGAGCACATTCACAGACACCCGCAGTGCATGATTCCATTAATCAGCGGGTCATTTGCAGAGCGCTGAAGCTGCCGTACATCCTGGCCACACTCTTTAAAACAGTTCCTGTACATTTTCCAGACGTTCGAGCTCAGACAAGCACACGGAAATAAGAAAGCTGGACCTAAAATAACTTCATTTCTCTCACTTTGGTCATGAAGGACTTCATAATTTATCTAAATAGAACTCTGCATAACAAAAAAAACGCCAATCTAACCTGTACTGTAACTGAGTACCTCTCAATGTACTGAACTTTCATGAACTGATCCACCCTTTTCTAAGGATACTTCTCTATATCTCAGTGCTTGTTGATGAAACGTTGTATTTGTATTAAATAAATAAATAAACAAATATAAAAACGGCATCTATTGCCTGGCAGTCTACATCCAGGGGTAAATATTCCCAAAGCACAACAACCAAAGCTGAAGTAATTTCACCGCTCAAGAACTGTTGGCTTTGTTCACAGTAGATTTCATACCTCTATAATTCAATATTGATCTTTTTTTTTTTTTTACAGCACTTTCCTGGTAGGTTTAATTTTAACATACAGATGTGCTTCCATCAGCGTAATTAAAGCTTCAAATGAAGAAAACACCAGCAATGTGTTCCTTTGTTGGATTTAATGGAACTTGTTCTACATCCTGAATCTATGCATTTGTTTTAATTGTATTTAATAAAAACACAACAAATAAAACGCTTTGTAGAAAATGAAGTTTTATGATAGATCCGGTTATTACTCATATTTTCTGAAGGAGCAACTCTTATTCAATTGTTTCTTGTATTGTTTCTACAAAACAAATACATTTGTTAGTCCCTGAGGTTTTACTTCAGTAATACTTCTACACAGATGCAATCAGAAATACTGTTGCTAGACATTAAGTACCACTGGGCTACTGGGTCCCAATTTCCCAACCTTGATTTTGTTTTTTATTGTTTCATAAAGCCTTTCTGGTGGTATTTAATTGTCAAAGTAATAAGTTTTATAAGCTTCATGTTTTATGTCCTCTTTTCCTGCCAATTGCAAGCGGTTCAAACCAAAGTTTTAAGAAAATATTTTTCCACATAAAGAAATCAAGTCATAAAAAAGTTTGTCATGATTGTATGGATTGTGAGGAATTTGTTTTATTCAGCTCTAAAGACGAGGACCTGAAGTGGATTTAGCAGCACAGCAAACATATGTATGTATCACGGTCGACGCTCCTTCTGAATAGTTCATGATCTTCTTTACATTTAAGAAATCAACTGACAATATGGAAAGAAAATTGAATGTTGTATTTGTCATCCAAGGGGTCAGAGACATGCCAATCTTAACACAACGTGGCTCAAACCATCAGACCTACTTTTAATTTTGGGCATAGTGTCAACATCTGATTAAATCTTCATCAGCGTAGACAGAGAATTTGCATAGAGTCGCATGAGATTGAGAAACTTCAACTTGATGTTTCACAGTAAATCATTTCTAACATATATAATGTTTATTAAATACCATACCAGAGAAACAGGTGGCAAATATATCTATAAAGCAAATCTGTGTGTAAATAACGTTTCTGTTCTCCCAGCAACTTTTGGTCGTGACTGCAGTCCACTACATATTTTAGTTGTCCTTTGTAACACTGCGGTCTGATGTTCTTGATTCCAAATGGTATTGTGCAATATTAAACTCCTGCACCATACCTAGGCACGCTGAACTGCTTACTTTGCAGCAGCATACACGGCTGAGTAAGCAGCAGTCAAGAAAATGCCTTTAAAGCGCCAGACAGTTTCAGTTTAGCTTCTAATTTCAACTTAAACATTCCAGATGGAGGTTTAAAGCTGTGAGACCAAAGCTTTAATACAATAGACTGCTGTGTGTGCATCGCTGCTACTCATCAATGACATAAACACGATCTTGGATGATATTTGAGGCTATACAGATCAGCCAGCTTTCTTTATGAGCTAACTTCAGCTTTTACTTTGAAGTAACCTGCACTATTTTTAAGTTAGTGATGAAAAGCAGAAAAAGAAATCCTCTCTGCCGGCATTAACTCTTAAAGGATTGAAAGCTAAAACAATGCATGAGAGTGTTTAATCAATAATAACTCAGTTGAAGAGATATTATTATCTCCTTATAGTAAAGGAAATCATCGAGGGCAGATCGTTTTCTTTCCTGTACGATGTATCAAAATCCTTCATAAGAGTGTTAAATATTTGGGTATAATCAAAACCTAATGTGAAATGGGGTCATATACTTGCTGTTGTTAAATGTAAACAACTAATCCCCCAACCCAACACACACACACACACACACACACATCTCCCCTGTATATTCAAGGTTTGTAGAGGTTAGGCTAAACATGATGGATTCCTTTACGCAGATGATTTATTGCTTTTTTACTTCCAATCCCCACATTCTCCACTGCTGTATTGTCTGTGCCATTGCTATTTTAAAACGCCTGTTAAATTTTTACAAGGGCACGGCAGGAAAATCCTGGAACATGTAAGGCAGTAAACTGGCTCTAAGACGCCGTAATAGGTCAGTTAATATTGGCATTTTAGATTAAATCAGAGCCATGTATTCTTCCTAACTTTAAGTATTTAATGTGGAATTGGTGGGACTGTAGAGATTTAAGGACTTCTAATGTCTAATACAACATTTATTTATTAGAATGTAATATTTATTAGTATTTATTTAAATATAAATGCTGATTAATAAATGAATATATTTAGGATATTTTTCTGACATGTAATCTTTAGGTTCAAAAACTAACAA